AAGAGATACGAACTTAAAGAGAACGTGTCTAATTTACTCAGGACTGTACATTATTGCTAAATCAGCAAAACACTGAATCACATTTCTTTTGACTTTCCATGGGTTTGTAAAGTAAATGTCAGAGTATCAGCCTATCTACCCGTTATCGTGGCAAACAGGATTGTTATTTTGAAGCAATAAGATCCTTATTTTCGGAGGTTTTACATTTTGAAAGATGATACGAATCATTTATTTTTCTTCAAGGAATGTTACCACTTTTGAACCAAAATGTCTTTTTATACTGAATACAAAACAAGCATATTTTGTTGCTGTCAAATTCCCAACATGTTTCTCCCCCTGTTTCCTAAACCAATTCATCATTTTCATTTATAGGCAGCCCATCATATAATAATCTGAAAATAAGGATCTTTGCATGTGATACAGGACCTTCAAAATATCATCAAAACATCTCAATGCGCTTTGCGGGCTTCGCTGTAAAGTGAAGTGACTGCATTTTGCAGATGAATGTGGCAGCCAATTTGCACACAGCAATGTCCTCAAAACAGCCCTGAAGCGAATGACAATTGTAACTAGGAGATTCTTGGCTGGGACATTGGGAGAAACCCATTGGGATCTTTAACACCCACCTGAACAGACAGATTTTCATTGGTTTTAATAATTGCCTTTTAGCTTTCACGAACACTGCAGAATAAATCGGGCGGTGGTTGGGGGGGAAGTGGGGGGGGGGTCGGTGGGAGGGAAATGAGATGAGTGACATGATAAATCATGTCCTATTTTCATTCCCTTCCCCCATGTTTCTTTAATTCCGGATCAGATCACTAACATATTAGGAGGTGTGAAGGTTCGTGTGGAGTACTAACACCAGTATATGATTGAATGAGCTGAGCATAACATCACACTTTATTCCAAGTGCGACGTAATATAGTCCTAGACTGTAGTCCTGAGTCATTCATCCCTGACCTATGAGATGATGTCGATTTGAGTGTGCGATGTCAATTAGAAACCTGCAGAGAATATTATCCAGAAAGCTCTGTGATCACAGCAGCACTGACTTGCTATTGGCTTATTGTTTTATAACAAGGGATTACTGTGTACGCAGGAATGTACCACCGTGGTGATAAGCTATGACACAACTTGTTATGATTTAATATTTTAGGAGTATTTCCAGGATTGGTGCAATCAGAATTTCAAAGGAGTGTTTGGGGCGAGGAGAATGATCATTTTATCAGTCGTGTGTGAAATTCTCCGTCTCACGGTTCTTGAAAAGAAACAGTTTCTCAAAGTTGTGATGTGTGAATGATACGTAAATGATACATCCTGCGGGTTTAGTATTAAAAATACTAAATATATATATATCTTAGCACATAGCTATCCCTCTTTAAACTATCCCCACACCTCAAAATAGGAATAGTGTACAAAGAGACAACATCCTGACAATGTTTGGGGCATCAATCCCACAGACAGAACTTGTGGAGACATTCGAGCTATGTACCAGGCCAGACACAAGCATCATTTTTGTCCATCCTGACCTTGCTTCTTTGGAGGATACATAACTGATGGTGTGGTTCATTAAACTGTATTTATAACAAGAGTTAACTTGACTGCATTGCCAAGCAGTGTCACAAGAGCAATGTGCTATTTCAGTTTGGTTCATAAACGGTATAAGTATCACAAACCAACGGCAGGAGTTATGTTGGTAATTTACATCATGTTCAGATTTACTGACTCCTCCCAATGCTAATTTTAAGGCAATTTTGAATAGTAAGATATGTAAATGAAAACAGGGGAACTGACTGAAGCAGTAGTTTGGGTGATGGATCATGCACTAAAGCCTTCATACAGGAAATATAGCTATTTAATGTGTCTTTCTGATTCAAAATACTGAAGGCTGGGACTTCAGATTATACCATCCCCATTGGTATCTCACAAGTGGTGTGAAACAATACAACTTAATACACATTTACATTTATATAATGCCTTTCAAGTGGGGTTAGCCTTGTGGGCAGAGTAAGACTCTTGCTGTATGTACCATATGTAAGAGAAACAAGACCATTTAGTCAGAAAGAATATTCTGGATAAATGTTACTTCCGAGTGTTTATTTTTCAAAAAAGGATAGAGAGCAACATATAGACAGTTTTCAACATTCTCCAAATAAATGAGAAAGGGAGACAGTATTTTTTTTCAAAAAGTCAAATGATACACTGGAAGTTCACACACTGACATGAATAAGTGCAGATGTTTCACAAGAGCCGGCTATTTCTGAGATGTTCAGCTTCTTATGCAATGTGGCAGTGAGCTGACATATTTTTGGGGTGAGGTGGGTGTCTGACACAAGCAGAAACCCATCACCGTTGCTTAAGAGTCTCCAAACCAAGCTGAGAATTCCTCCCAGGCATTTCTCAGAGATAGATTGTGAGCTACACAAGCAAGCTCAACTGCACAAATGATCTATTTATTTTCTTCTCTGTTGGTTAAATTATCTGAGAAATGAGGAAGGAAGTAAACACCCAGTGAATTGATGGATTTTTAAGTGTTATCTGACTGTTTCCCAACATAAAGTCTGACAGAATGAATAAATAAACTATTCACAACTTGCGGGGCATGAGATCAATTTATGAGTCCCAGATGCACTGAATACGCAAGTGAGAAAGATTGTAAAGTATCATGGAGAAAGGCGTTTGGAACACTCCCTTCACAAAGATCATAAACATCTGCTTAATGACTATTCCATCTCCGATTTGATATCCTGTGCACTTAACAGAAAACCACAAAAATTTGTTCAGATGTTTATAGATTTCAGATAGCCATCCCACTGAAATGAATTACAGAATACAGAGCTACGAACAAAAGGCAAAACGCTGCAGATGCTGAAAATCTGAAATAAAAAACAGAAGTGGCCAGAAACCCTCAGCAGGTCAGGCAGCATCTATGGAGAGAGGAAAGTGAGTTAATGTTTCAGGTCCATAGCCTGTCGTCAGAACACAGCTATGAAGCTACACTCAACCTGATAGCACGAGCAACAAAATTAGTCCAGCCTCAAAGGAATCAGCTGTTCTGTAGATTATAATATATATTTATTTCATATAATAATAACATTTATTTATTTCTGAACCAAAACATATAATTCAAACTCATTCTGTCTAGACAGATGGTAGCACTTTGTGATTTGTGATTAGAATTCCCATTTGAAAAGAGAGGTGGTGTCGAGGTGTCCTGAGCAGTGTTGCCGTTCACTTCATTGGCTGTTTGTGAGACATCGTTGTGCGCAGATTGGCTTTTTAATGGCTTAATGCACAGGGAAGATGGGAACATTGGGGATGTCTCAATACTTAACTATTGATCTAAGCACCCACATAGATCCACCCACACCCTCTGTGCAGCTCGTTCCTTAATCCACTTGAGCACCCTGCCAAACAATGACCCCCGTCAATAAGTAATGTTCCTCATGAACTGAACTATAGTTGGCTCGCACTGTACGTACTTTCAAGCACTAGGTAATGGGTAATGTTGCATAATCTGAGCAAGTGTAAATCTTATAGAGTAAAAAAGAGAATCTCGTTTACAGTATTAAACGTAGCTTCAGAGCTTGCTGTTGGCCTCAGTAACATGTCGAGAGCCACAGGCCAACAATTGTAAGAGAAAGAACCAAAACACTGACATTTACTGGCGTTCAGTTTAACAAAAGTAACCCCTTAAGGGGAATAAGGAAGATATAACAATAACACTGGAAGAGAATAGTTAAGGCCTTGGACAACTCAGGCTCCAGAAAAGAGGACAGTTTAAGGAGATGAAGGCAATTATAATGATTCATTATTTTATGTAAAAGATTTCCTTTTTTTTCATTCATGGACTTTAAAGGTTGTTAATAATGCTTCATTCTACAATGGCTGGTGTGGCTGGCAGGCCATACGTTAACCCATTGTTTGCAATAACCTGTTTTCGCAGGAAAATATAATGTTTGCTTGTTTATAACTGTGTTTGGAAATGAAAGGTATAAAAATACTCTATGCACTTGGGACCCACTACCCTGTGGTTTATATGTATAAATAGCCTATGTATTGAGCATGAATTACCTGGATACGGTGGTGGAGTCAGTGTCTGACACTGTTCTCAATACTGACACCCATGAAACCAGGTCAAATATCAAGGCTTGTAGATCATGGAATTTCACCGAGGTTTGCTTGGTGGGTCAGTCTGAATACCAGTGTGCCACACAGTGACATAGCATTGCTACTGAGAATTATCCCCGACACCTGCAGGTAGACAGTTTGATCAAGGATTTCCAAATATAAATGCAACCAAAGGTGGATTGTTCAGCCACCCTCCTACCCTCTACCCTCCCTGTCATGCACCCCTCCTGATCCCACCCCCCAGGTTCAGTGGTTTGGGATGTCCTCCTGAAGTGAAACCCCACAAACAGTCGTAGATTGAGTGACCAAATTGTTATTATTATTTTGGGGGGCAGGGATTAAGAAAGCAATCCGCCAATCGACTAACAGCTGGGTTCCTACTTACTGCTAGGTAAACAGAGATATTTTGCTCTCTGTGTTATACAGTTTATGTGTAGAATGACAGTGTTACTTTATTTTCATATTCAGAGCATTTGTGCTATTACAGATAAAATACGATAGAAAATTACATTGCTATAGATATATTCATTGGACATCAGCCCTACTGAATCATTAAGGAATATATTTCTAATCCACGTTTATTCCTTCAATCTCATTGACTTGAGAAATGATACGTCACAGGGATTTGACGTACTGTAAACTAAGCCTATAGTGATAGCTGAAGTACACAGTCGTTGGGCTGTTGCTTTCCCTGAAGCCTCATAAATAATGCATTGTCCTGAGAAGGATATTGTAGATTTTGTATCCTTGAGCTATCAGATGTGTGTCAGCCCAACATGGTGACTGCTCATTAGTTTAATGAGACCCAGAAAGTAAAGTGCTTCCTTTACTTCTTTCCAATTTTCCTAGATACCAGAATGCTGGGACTACATCAGAAGCTGCTGCTGACACATCAGGAAAGCATTTGGTGGTAAGATAAGACTATTTGCATTAAACAAAAAAAATGTGTTTTTGATGACAGAATATGGTTATCCATTGCGACAGTTCAAATTCAAGTAAATTTCACTAAAATAAATTCCTGGATGCCACATGTTGTCATCAGATTAAATCATTTGTGTGTTTGAAAACAACTTTAGTTTATTAAAACTTTATACCGGCTCACAATAATTTATGAGCATCTTGGCAGAGTGATTTGCTTAAACAATATATGTGGATATTTATGTATGCAAAGTGATTCCTTTTGTTTAATGCAATCATGGTTATTCATATATTAAACCGGTAATTAAAGTTTGTAGCTGTAATACTTTATCACAGAATATGATCGTGTTCAGAAACAGTACGAAATTGATATTCTATCTTTGATGTAATGCAAAACAAATGCCACTGAAAGTTGCCCTGAGGTTATTTATGGTGCATTCACAATAGGAACCAGTGGTGTGTGGAAAAATACACCAAGTCCTTCGTGAGTCTTGTGAGCGTGTATAAGTGGTGGGGTTAATATCCCAAATCATTGCTTCAAAGGTGCCTTACCCTTGTGTTAGTTCTTAGACATTTTAGTTCTTGTGGAAAGCTCCAGTTTGCACCAAAGCAGTACAAGTGATGTTACGCAGAAAGGTATTTAATTGGCTATCAATGTAATGGTTTACAGTAAGTGTTCTTATCCATATCGGGCTGCCTCCTGACTGTAAGGCACCATATTTACTGTAAACTCTGAAAAAAAATAATCAGCTTGTTTTGAGGCATGGAAAAAAACGAGAGTTGCCAATTGGTGAAGGAAATGGGTGGTAACAGGCGATAACAAGTTTTATCTTTGAAACGCTGATGTATGGGGGAAGCTTTTCATACTGTTTTTTCCCCAATATTTACTTAAGTAAGAGTTGGTTTCCACAGGGTAGCCATTACATAGCGTATTGTTTTTTCCATATAAGGAAGTGATGAGAATTTACTCTGTTCCTGACCTGGTTTCCTGTTTGCTGGGAATTTCTCCCCGGAGTTCAGCCAGTGCTATTGACTGAAGGTCAGCTGTTTGTCTAATATTTGCTGAAGAAAGGAAAACTGAGGCAATGTCTTTTTGCAGTGACTGTAGTTCCCGCATGATCAGGGGCTTGTTGGCTGGACTTTAAATAAACTCGTGTTGAACTGATTGTTTTTTTTAAGAGAAAATGTGGTTCAGCCACAAATGGGATCCATTTTTATAAACACATACTTTCCTTCTGACTGTCCCGATTGTGTGCCATATGTTTAAATTTTTGCATCTCCTGATTTGCAGGGAAGCGAGGCATTGGCTGAGTGCCTGATCAAGAAGGGTTCGTTGAGCCTTCTGAAGAAGAAGTGGGAGTCTTGTGATCTTGCTACATCGCCAACAACAAGGACTTTGCTCAGAAGCAAGTCCTACAAGTTTTTGCCTCATTGCTCTGCCAGTAATGTGAAGTTACCACTGAGTAAATCAACTCAAACCAGGCTCTGCCACAGTACTCGTCAGTCTTCACCTCACTTCAACAACGGCCTGAAGTCCACAAACATCCAGAGCTTCCACGTTAGCCACAGTACCAGCAGTAACATCAATACCCGAGCTAGAATTACTGTGGTAAGTTCACCAGAAACCACCCCTGTTGTGAGACAGTCCAAGGCTGTTATTTGTACCAGAATGGAAAGTGAGTTGGAAACCCAAACCGTTGGAAGCGAAAGGCTGGGAAAGAAGGACATTTCAGCTTCGCCCACATCCCTGCACGAAATGGAAACGAACGGGAATGAAATTGTCAGGGAAGACCTGGAGGCTGGCCGGAAGATTGAACGATTTGTGATCCCACTCGCCAATCTGAAGATGATGTTTGAGATGTCAGACACGGCCTTAACTCCTGTGCAAGTGAGGAACAGCAATAAGGTAACACATTACATGCATTATCGTAAAGAACTGTTTGTTTGGCAGTAATAATAATAATAAAATAATAATAATCCTTGCGTTTGATATAGTGCCTTATCACATCTTCTAGACATCTCCAAGTGCTTCACAGAATCTATTGTAAAGTGAATTGACTGTGTATTTTGGGGGTGAAACGCAAAATATATAGCACTAGAAGGAAAACTTGATAAGGCAATATATAAATAGTATTTTCACCAAAGTATCAAACGATTTTCATGCCAAATGGGTGGCAATAGAATCAGAAATTTGAAAAAATTCAGAAAAATCAAAGAATTGAGTCACGGAATTTACTCTTACAGCTAAACCGCTGCTATGTTCTTTATACCTCAGATACCCATTGCTGAACAGTTATATACAATACCAATAATCCTCGCATTTGATATAGAGCCTTACCACACCTTTGAGACTATTCTGTAAAGTGAATTGACTGTATATTTTGTGGGCAAGAGATATAGGAAGCGGTAAAGTAATAATAATAATCCTTGCATTTGATACAGAGCCTTAACACGTCTTTATGATGTCTCAAAGTGCTTCACAGGATACACTATATATATACAGTATAAATAATGGGAAGTACTGTATTTTCCAACATAAAAAATACTGAAACGTTAGCAGATTGTGGCCTAATATTTTTTTTGAAAGAAGGTAGCTGATTGTAGCAGGTAGTTGATTCTAAGCGACATCAATGTGGTGTAAACTGAGCTCACAAGTAACCTTCACTAACCTCTGAGAGATCAAAGAGAAGGCTCGTCAGTCTCTGACTTTTGAAAAACTTTGGGTGATTTATTTTTCAATACAATTGAAATCCGAGCTGGGTGCAGATATTTTGCGCCGACAAATATCTGTTATCTCTTTATTTTATGGACGTCTTTATTGCTTTTCTCCCTCCCCCAATGGGAGCCTGTCCATTCCTCTCTACCGTTGCTCAGCTCACATAGCAATGTCAGACAGTTTTCAGGCCACAATTTTGATGACTTGAAGGATGAGGTCAATGTTGCTCCCTGGCTTCTTGCCAATAGAGGTCACAGAGAGATGTGAGAAGCATTGCTTCCCCCTTTTTCACATTTTATTCTGCTCAAAAAATTATTCAGGTTAACCCAGCGAATGTTACTGTTGTGCGATTGGAAGTCTGAGAACAATTATCATTCAAATGACAAGGCCTGCAATTTAGATCCACCAGGCCCCTGATGTGACTGTGCCTGTTCCAACTCAGATTGATAATCATTCGGCTAACTTTGATATATTGCTGTTGTGAGAAATGTAAAACCAGTCCCTTCTCCTCGCTCCCTCCCTCGCCTCCTTCAAGGCCCGGCTCAAGACCCTTCTCTTCGACTCCTCCTACCCCCTATCCTGCCCGGCCTCCACCCCTCCTGATCCCAACCCCCAGTTCGAGCCCAAATCTCTGGGTGTCCAGTGCCTTGGCACGTCCTTCTGACGTGAAAGGTGCCGTGTAAATTTGTTGTTGTTGTTCATTTCATTTAAAGGTTTTTTTTTACACAGTGTTATGGTTTTATGAACAACGTGAATGCAGAGACCATTACAGTTGGGAAATAGCACAAACTGGTAGCGGGAAGCATAAGTAACTGACATGCGACTCATTGCATCTCAGCTCCCACTTTCCCAGGAGGAAAATCAAAGCCATTTCCTGTGCTTAATCTTGTCCTGTCTACAGCAACTTGTATAATCTGTACCAGCAATGCCAAAGTCCCACTTTAACTAAGCACGGTTTTTAATGTTTTACAAACTCTCGGTGAAAGGAAGCGATCATTTAGTTCCCCCACCAGGCATTTTTTTCTTAAGAAAATGTTAATACAAGAGGATAGATTGCTTACCCTGTAGCTTAGTGATTGGAGCACTTGCCTCGCAAGCGAGAGGATCTGGGTTTGATTCCCGGGCAGGGTGAAACGTTGGGCAAGTTTCCTTACTCCACACGCCTCTGTTTACCAGCAGTAAGTAGGACCCGGTTGATTGACGGATCGCTTTTCCAAGTGTAATAATCCCTTCAAAAAATAATAGTAATAATTTTGTCACTTAATTCACGGCTGTGTGTGGGACGCTGCTGTGAGCAATCGGCTGCCACATTTCACCCATAAAACATAGTCAATTCACTTTACAGTATGTCCTGTGAAGCGCTTTGAGATGTGCAGGGACTGGAGAAAAGGCAGGTAAATGGGACCCAATGGATTGCTCTTTCAAATAGCTAGTGATGGAGGAATGACCTTCTTCGGTCCTGCCAATGTCTATGTTGGATACTCTATCCTGCACGTATGGCCACTTTAGCTGGTGTAGGAATGTGAGTGTGCTCCAGTCTGTGAAGACAGTGAGATGACCTGTTAGATGACCTCCCTCTGCGATTGGTGATATCATGTGACAAAAGTTTCAGATTAACAGGCATAGGTGTTATAGCTCAGCAATCAAGCGTGTCTTTCTCTGGGCCTTTTCTACTTCTTATCAAACAGCACAGACTGGCATTTGGTATGAGAATTCAGAACCAGGGCTACCTGCGAGGTCAGCTACACAGTCTCAAAGCGCTTCACAGGATACACTGTAAAGTGCAGTGATTGTGTACTTTGTGGGCAAAACAAATCATCACTGAAGGAATCTGAACATTCAGCATTCATTGTAGGAAACTGCTTTAGCCCTTTTTTTAAAAAGAAAACAATGCTGGAAAAGAATGCTTATTAAATGATTTTATTTTAAACCAGTGAAAAGAAGCATTGTTCATTTTGTACTGTAGTTATGAGAAGAACCAGCAGATGATGGGGTGGGTGTGGGTGTTTACTTGGAACTAAACTTCTTGCTTGACCTCAGATATGCTCAGGTCCACAAAACAGGCTTTAAGGCATCAGGTAACTGAAACCTCAACCAGTTCTTGTACAATTGTGTGTATTTGCAGCATAAATGCCGGTGAGCAAACTGTCTATATGATCATTTTATACAAGTGGGCTTCTAAAGAATATATCGCATGTTAAACCCTTATACAACAGTGGATGATGTTCTTTTAATCTATTACTCTTAAATTCTACCAGACACAGTTTTTTAGTCGACTGTGTGGCTTACCCTGTTTTTATCATTGGGTTTTAATCACACAGATAAAGATCTTCAAAGGCCCGTGCTTACTGTGCAGAAAGTCTAAAAGAAAGTGGCTGCTTACAGCTGAGTGTTTTATGAAATGCAGGTTCAGCAAATTTTACCTTTTCTTTGTTCAGTCATGAATTGTTCATTGATGTATTTAATCACTCATACGGGGTGCATTTGATCAGATTAGTTGCTATATATATGTATATGTATACACACACACAGTATTTCCCCAATTACAATGCTAAGTTGCAGTTATATGTTGGAAATGTACTTAGTTGTACATTCTATCAGCAGAACATTAAATGTAAATGGTGAGTTTTTGACAAAAATGCATTCTGCTCCTCTTTGGCTGCAGCAACAGCTGCCAGACTACGCTCAATGGTCTTGCAATAGTAGAGTTATAATCATTTCCAGGGCAAGTTACATGACAAGATCCAGAGCAAGATCTGGGAAAGTAATTTCGATCATACTCATTCGTGCCTATGTTTTGCTGAATAATACAAAACCTTCCAGATACCCTTCTTTGTGATAATGTGGTAGCATTTTGCTGGCTAAACGCTTTTGATGATTTTAAAGGTAAGGCTTTTGTGCGATGCCTCCTCAAAGGAAAGGCTTGGGGCTGACATATGGTACTGGTTATTTAAAGGAGAAGAGAAAACAATCAACAGCATGAGGCAAGTTGATGTGGCCACACATGATGTGTGAGGTCTAGCCCGTTAATTACAAGAGCCCCAAGTAAGATTGGGTACTAACCATACCCCAGGTAAGGGAATTATTGATAGGGAAGTCAAGACAGATCATTGAGGGGCATCTCCTCATAGGGAGGCCACTCATCCTGTTCCACCAGCTAAACCCATTTCCTGTCTGTCGCACACGCACACCCCACTTTACTCCTCGAGCAGATCTCCATTATCGATTGGCGGAGTGCTTTCCGTGGGTAATAATCCTTCCCTTTGGTCTCTCAGTCCACGACTGTTTGTGGGACGCCGCTGTGCGCAATTGGCTGTCGCGTTTCACCCACAAAATACACAATCGCTCCATTTTACAGTGTATCCCGTGAAGCGCTTTGAGACGTCTCGAAGACGTGATAAGGCCCTATATCAAATGCAAGGATTATTATTATAGCTAATTCAAGTCAGCCACTGACACATTGCTTGAATTGAGTCAGACCCTTCTGGGCTGGGAAAGTTTGTACAGCCTGTGGGGTGGGCCTTAAAAGGAAGGGATTCAATTGATGAATCACATCCTTGCAACCAACTTGTTCCTGTAAATTTGCTGTAACCTAACCTTGAGATGAAGACTCTTGGTTCCAAGCAAATGCAAGGCTGTTCTTTATTACTGTATTGTTTTTCCAGGAACTATTAGGGAAAGAATCCAGAAATGACCTTGTTTTAAACAATTAGATAGAGTTTAATAAAGCAACTGGCTAAAATGTCCAGCTACTCACTGCTGCCAAATATTAATAAAAGTCACTGGAGCCCCTCAGTACATTTTAGTTCATCATGTTTATCTAAGTCAAATACTATTACGTTCCTTTGCCTAACTGTTAACTCGATTCTGTTGTAATACATAATCTATTAGCTCAAAGAATACTGTTTATTTTAGTGAGGAAATTAAAGGGGTATTTCAAATGTGCTCTAAATGTGTGTCAGCTTGGGTCAGTGATAGCATTCACCTCTGAGTCAGAAGGTGTGGGTTCAAGCCGCAGGTCGGGACTTGGAATCACATAGTCTAAGCTGACACTCCAATGAGGTGCTCGAGAGTGTGTTGTATTGTCAGAGGTTCCATTCTACAGAATAATAATAATAATCCTGGCATTTGATACAGTGTCTTATCACATCCTCAAGACGTCTCAAAGCGCTTCACAAAATATACTGTAA